AAACAAACCGAAAATGTCGCAGCCGCACCTAACTATTACATCACTATGAAAATTGACGCATATGCATACATATTTATACATACATAATTTCATGTATGTATGTATGTATATACATACTTACATATATATGCATAAATAACGGAAACAAACTCACACTTTCAAATAAACACAGATTTGCTATGTGAAAATCATATGTATGTCAGCTGCAATTTTCACATTGCAGGAACCTAACATAATTGCATCAAATGAACATAAACAAATTTGAAATAGAACAAGACCAAAAGCTGCATGCGACTTCTTTTGTAATGAACAACAAAGGCAACGATAAAAAAAAAGAATAAGAAGAAGCATTAAAATGAGCGAATTGCGGCAAAATGTGTTTTCTGGTATCGCTTCCATCTGCGGGCTACAAAGCTACAAAAGAGAGCTGCGGCGAATTCACATAGAGCGTCGACGACAGCGGCAGCGATGGTGGACGGCCACAAACCGAAGTTCGTTGAAATTTCGAATGTATGAAAACGTTCAGTCTGCCGCCAGCGCGGGACCGAGCGTTTAGCTCGAAAACGCGGCAGAGGGCCCAACGAAAATTAGCTGGGTCAACAAGGTGACTGGTGGTGGCAGAGCAAGAGCATAGCATAGCCGCACAAATGTGTCTGTCTGCCTCCGTCTCTGCAGATATACGTGCGCGTATGAATGTATGCGTGCGCGCGACAATACGATGTGCTCTGCTGTATACAGCGCTTGGCTATTTTATCCCCCCTCCCATTATAAAATACGAAATTATTTGAGGAATGCGAATGCGGCGATGACAACAGCGAGGCATACGCATACGTAGGCAGATACAAATGCTAAACGCACTGTAACTGGGGTTCTTTTAAAAATAGCCAATGCGCTCTTGGGCGTACAACCGTTAGACCAGCGGGCACGAAGGCGAATTGTCGGTCTGACGTCATCTAGCGAGCGCAAGGATGAATTGCGTAAAATAATTGCGTTGTCTTCCACACAGCTGTAGAAGGTTGAGTGCCCTTGACAGAACCTAAAGAAAAAATATCAAATCCTTCTCCGACCCAATAAAAAGAAATCCACAAGCACACAAACCCAAGAGAATCCACTGTGTATGGCCAACTGTTCATCAGTCTCTCATTCTCACTACAGTCATCTGAATCATCATCATAAAATACTCACTGCCACAGATTTGCCGATTGAAATTCCCAAAGGGTAATAAATATGTCGCCTACTTGAGGACTGACGAACAGGAAATGACATTTTCATGCACACACATTCAAGCATGTAAGCTTGTGATGTGTGTTAAGAGCGAAGACAAACTGGGCGGCACACGTGTGGCAACGCTGGCAGTGAGAGAGTTTTCTGATTGAACGAAAGTGACTGCTGTGCACGAACTACAAAGCGACAAAAGAGCGTAAATGCTCTCGCATTTCAAAATGGGGCGCGTAATGAATGGCGCATTTAGATTCTTATGCATTTTACTTTACCCTGAATTTTATTTGTGGATTGAGCCACATTTATTACATTGATTTTTAGCAACAGATTGGTGAAACCAGATAAGACTAGTCGAAATCTATTTGGATATTTATAAGTACATCTTTTTATTCATGTGATGATTGTCAGCCACAAACTAGTTATGAAATCAGAAGCCTATGACGGCCACAAGCTGCCAACGAGAGGAAGTATATGGAGAGACAGAGAGAGAGAGAGAGAGAGAGCGAAAAAGCGAAGAAAAAGTGTAAATTTTTTTCGTTTGTTGGGGGCAATGAATATTACGTTTATTTAACTTGAGTTTCTTATAAATATATATA